TACCAATTTTTAAAGTATCAAATTGAATTTTTGTTCAATAAAAATCTTTCAAATGCGAACGTAGTTTTTGTTCCCCAAAACTTTATCTTCAAAATATGGGTGCGTCTTACATTCCAAAAACTACGGTAATTAATTGTTAAGTTTTTTTCAAGCTGATTATATAATTAGGAAAAGTTACAAAACATTTTGTAATTAAATCTTTTTTTATATTGCTGCTTCGAATTCCATCTTATGCACCATTTTAATTTCTATAAGGATGTCATCTAGTAACAACAAAAGTTTTATTGTCAGATAGTAAACATTGTACTTTATTTTTCTCTGATTGAAGTGGATTTGTTTTCGCTGAATTATATATATGTTATCTATAACACACGTTTTTAACATATGATATCTAAGGACATGTAAAACCCTATAACCCAAGTGCTTTTGAAAGATGGACCTTTCTTCTTCGGGGGCAAACTGATTCATTTCTATCTAGACTTCCTGAACCTATGTGTTTTTCTAACATCATAAATCTGAAGACACTTACTGCTAACAATGAATTAGTTTATTTAGTAACAGTGTACTAAATTCAGATAACTGGATTCTCTGTAACAATGCTATACTCTTTTCTTTAACAACAGTTATTAAGTAGTGGTAGTAAATTTGGTAATAAATATCCCAGTTATCCATAACAATTCTTTACTATTTTCTCAACTTTACTGGCTCTGATTGGTCATGCAATACCCCTTATTATACTGGTGAAAATTTACCAAAGGGCATGTATAAGAGTTAAGAATGTTATGTTTAATATTTTTCTGATTTATAATCAACCAGCATAATCAAGTATAGTTTACTTTCATCAACACAAATTCTGAAGTTTTGGTGATCATTAGTTCAAAGCATTCAATGGGCTCTTTGCACCCTGATTTGTAGCAGTATAAGTCCATAAATTTACCACTGACACATTGGGGGAACTTTTAACGGGGTAGTTCTGTGAAAATTTATAGAAAGAAACCTAAGATACAGTATTAATGGTATTTTCAGCTCATATTATGTTATATTTTTATGTAGATAAATCCTAACTTGTAGTACCTGAAGATGTCTATCGTATTAAATAAAGAGTAATTCGAAAATGTCTTTTTAAAAAAAACTAAAACTAGTTGGAAATAGAAATATTAGTCTCACGTGATAATAATCAATTAGCAAATTCCACTAGTTACCCAGGTCAAATAACAACCTGAGGGCTTTTACTTGAATACTATTTGTTTATTACAGGTGATAAATTGTAGGCATTAAAATACAAAAACAAAAGTTTGAAATGTTAAATTTATTATCTCTTAACAAATGAAAAATTCTGCTAAATAAGTGTTTTGGTTTAAAACTGGAAAACATTTTTCTCTCATAAACAACTTTGCAGTATGGAAAAATACCGTAATAACATCAAACACAAATCAAGTTGTTGAAATTATTTTAGAACTTAATAATCAAAAGAATCAGAAATTAGTTACTTTTAAGTTTGGCAATTTGGTCTAAATTTAATTTTTGTAATTGTTTTTTACTTATGTATGGTCCAATGTTCCCTCTTAATTTTTTCAATCCATGTGCAGAATGAATATTTTCATATGCACCAGTATCAAAGCAATGTGGGATGTGTGCTACCAGTTTTTTTTTTCTTTTTTTTTTGGGGGGGGGGGGACCATCAACTGCCAGGGTCATTATGGCCATCAATGTTCTAAGACTCCTCACCATTACTGAGGATGTACAAAGCTGGAATACTTAAGTGCATGACATTTGATTGGTTGTTGTGCAGCCATGCAGCTTAGAGGGAACACTGGTATGGTAGAGATTCTTTACAGTAGGTGTCTATGACTTTTTGGCAATAAATTTCAACAATAAACAAAAAACACAGTCCACTTGTTTTAAAATAATATATTTTAAAACAAGTGAAACATATATACAAGTGTTCTTTACACTGTTGGTTACAAAAGTTGTATCCAAACTATAAATAATTGTCTTTTTTTTCAATCAAAGTCTACACAGGTTGGTTCAGTTAGTTTAGAACAAACTTGACAAGATAATTATTTTTCTCTACTCTGTTGTTCCAATACCATCTGTGATAATGTCATTCTCACTATATGCTAATTATGGTTAAACTCACAATCACTCAGTCTAGATCTATCTCTATCTAGCTAACTTTGTCTAAATTGAACTACATTTTTTAGATATATTTATAGCCTGACCAAGACCTAGAACTTTCTACACAATATGAGCTATTATGATGTGATAATAATTAAAACAATAAGAAAAATTTAGGAGGTTTTAGTAACATGATGCAATAATACAACAAGCATCAATTCAAAACAACTGAAATATACAACATATGATTCATCCACAGTTATGTAAACAAACCTGCAATAAACTATCACTTCTAAAAATAACTAAATTTAACACTAGTGCTATACTTAACCCATCTAAATCATAATACTCTCTATAAACTCAGTCGTGTATATCTAACAATAATGTTTACAAATTAAAAAAAAACTCGCAAGGGAGTTCCTAGCACTTCCCCAGATCCTAAACTGTTTACTGAAGATACCTGCTTTTACACCTCCTAAAATATGGAGTTCCAATGCTACAAACCAGTACTCACTAAATCATGTTGAGATCTTTGAATTTGCTATTTGAAGAATAAATTTTGGAATAAATGCACCTGAACTGGGTAAAATTCATTCTATAAATGTTTCTATATGTTGTACAGCCAAGGTGAAAAATTTAACAAAATATGATTTCCTGAAATTTCTATTAGTGGATAAGGATTTATTTGTTTGTTTGTAATTAAGCACAAAGCTACACAGTGGGCTATCTGTACTTTGCTCACCACGGGTATAGAAACCTGGTTTCTAGAATAGAAAGTCTCCAGACATACCACTGTGCCACTGGGGGGCTAATGATAAGGAACAACCTGAAAAATAAACAAATATATATACATATATATTTTTTTTTAACTATATATACTATTTTTTCCAAAACATATACTTACTCCTGACACAAAACAACTTTAAAAGAATTTACCTAAATGGTTTTTCATAAAGTAGGGATCTTTATTCAGGTCAATTGTCTCCAAAGCCAACTGGCGAAGACGTTCTCGTCTGTCTCGATTAGTTTCGGACCATGAGGCTACACCACCTGACCCCGTTTTTCCTCCAGGCCTATGCTGAAAGTCCATAACTGTCCACTCTCAGATATATCCTAAGGTAGCAATGATGTAAAAAAACAATTAAATTATCACATCCAGTACTTATTACAATTTCTAAGAATTCTGTTTTTTTTAAGGTCTTAAGTCTTTGAGATTTATAAAATAATTGCTCTTCAGGACACACTAAATACTATAAAATAATTTGTTTTTTGCATAATGATAAACCCTGGTGTAAAATTCATTCAGAAACCTTGTGTGTATATATATTTTTTAGTTGAGGCATCTTTGAGATAAATTAACAATATTATCTAAACCAAACAACAGTTTGATATGATATCTGGGTTCTATTTTACACTGTGTCTCCACATTCGGGTTTCTTATTGCTGTCATCTAGAGCAAACATTAGTAACTTTATAAGCCAATGCACTGTTGTTTAAATATAGATTCTAAATTATAAAAACAGTAATTTTACCAATTATATAAACCTTCCAAAACATTAAGATACAACATTTCTGAAAAAAATTCAGGACTACTATGGTCTCTCACAATAATCCATTTTCTTGATTAAACGATAAAAATATTCAATGATCCACTTAGAGACATTATAATGTAAAGATGTTATCAGAAGAATTAACAGCCCTATAAAACATTATAATCTATAGGTATTTTTAATTCATGTTTGAGAAAACATTAATGTCAAGATCAAATACAAAATATAACTAAACACTTCAGTACAATGTTGAATTTAGGGGGTGTACAGAGGGGAAACACCCCCAGTGTTATTCCAATGACAAAAATAATCGACTCGTCAGACATTCTTTCTGACTATTAGAGTTTTGGATTAAATCAACGTTGATTAAATGAAATTATGATGAAATGGAATGTCACAAAAAATAATAAATTAATTGAAATTAGGGTTTCCAATTATTACTATTTTCAACTATTTCAACTCTCCAAGTAATCAAAATATTATTACATTTGTCTGTTGTTAAGCACAAAGCTACATAATGGAGTAACAATGCTCTCCCCAATTTTAGCCTGATGCATTCGTTTTTTTCCAGCTTTGGTAATTTGGGGGGGGGGGGTCTCATGATTCAAGGGTTTCTGGTTCAATTCCCACTGTTGCCAAACGTACTCATCCTGTCTTTGTTATGGCAAAGCTACTAAGGCTACTGCCACTGCCTAATTTTGAACTGCCATCTATAGAAAAGTCAAATAGTTGGTAGCACTCTCAAACAACATTTTTTTCAACTGTCTGTCTCTTTTTTTAGTGCAGAACTACACAACAGGCTATCTGCACTCTGTCCGCCACAGGGAATCAAACACTTCTTTTATATTTTTTCTTTTTGAACTGCTCACTACAAGGAAAGCAACTCACTGGCACAACCCACCATGCTTTTTTTTGCTAGTATATAATAGTTTGAGGAACACTGTACTAATTGATTAATGGGGCCTTCTATTAATCAATGAGTGAATTCCACAGTAATAGCCAAACTCTAATTACATATTTTTCTCTATGTAATATGTAAATGCATATTTCACACCCACTATATTCTTAATTTTGTATTT